AGTTATGAGTTTGGGTGGAGTAAGTGAATGATATTGCTGGAAAGCATTGCTGTGATTACTAAATGCATAATAGTATTTAAGATGATTATCGGACGAAGCATGTATTTGGTTGAACTGTTTTAATTGTTATCGTCATAAATTGGTGCCCTGCTAAAAACACCGGATGGGTGATTTTTGCATCGTTTACATAGGTATACTGTACCGCATGCAGGCGTGTTGGGCTTTGTTTACATATTCTCCGAGAGAATAGGCAACCTGCCAGCACCACTGCGCTGCATGCGGTGCAGTACACCCCAAAATAGAAGACTGCGAAAATCGCCCGTCCTGTAAAGTGCTGGCAAACAAAGAGATCAATCTCAGATTCAAGGCAGACATTGTTGTTTATTTTGTTATAATTTTTGATAAAGAGCGTTTTTTTTCAGATGTGCGATAGAAAATAAATTCTCTAAAAGTAACGCAATTGGTCGAATCGTAGCATGATTGTTTCCACATATTGGCAGAGAACAGGCAACAGGTCACCAGTATAGCTCATGACTTCGCAGAATTCCACAACTTTAGCAAGAACAGCAATAAGAGTTCCCCACGGCGATACACGGCTGAAAATATGAAATTTCCATCGCATCAAACAAATGCAAGAAATAGACCACACACACGGTGGAGCACATAGATACCCCAGACAACTTCGTAAGTCATATTGTAGAGGAGCATGCAGGGCATGCAACCGTGTGGAGGCGTTGCCTACTCGCAAGGGGCCATAAGGCGCCCTGCCGTGGTGAGCGACGGTAGGCAAGCCGGCCGACACGTCTGCATGCACTACAGTACTCAGTAAAACTCCAAAATTGACCGGTTTGGGTGGGCCACCCTGTATATCACTGTCGGAAAGGAAACCCACACAGCACCACACATATGGCAGCAGCCGATGAGTATAGAAGACGCAGCAGAATTTCATTTTCGTGGAGAAACAAAACGGGCACCTCTTTACGATTGGGCGATCAGCAGCGTGCGCGTCGCTCGCAGCCCCTCGGTCAGCACTGCTCCAGTTCTGCTGGGCCAGCACCGCGCCGGGGACTGGGTCAGGCAGGGCTGGCTCTGCTCGCCCCGCTAGTATTGCTCCTGATTTCGTGCCACCCGCAACGTCGCCATCTTCACGAAATTTGAGACCGCGTGTCGTAGAAGCGTCGCGTCCTCCCGTCTCTGTGCGCGAAACCCGCCCCCTGCACTGGCACTCCGAAACTGAAGTGGACCGCCGGGTCGGCGAGGATGAGGGTCTCGGGAACCTGAGCCCAGGTGGGGTTGGTGGCCAAGCGGCCCGGCGTCACCATGGTGTCCCCCGTGCGGCTGATGCCGCGGCTGCTGCGTCACAACGACCGCTTCGGGACCGGCGCCAGGATCACCGCGAGCTACGGCCCGGGCTTCCTCTTCATCCTGCTCACCAGGCTCGCCCTCGTGGCCTTCCGCCCCGACATCGTGGACCGAGAGAACCGGCCGCGGGACACGCCCCTGGCCAGGATGCGCGCCAGCTACGACTTCATCGTGGTGGGCGGCGGCACGGCCGGCTGCGTCCTGGCTAACAGGTAGGCGAGCGAGGGCTGCACGAGCGGCAGCAGAACGTCATGGAAACAGCTGACGTGTGACGTAGTGACGAGCCAAGGAGGTAGCTGGCAGGGCTACGACACAACAAAGTGGTCGGTTTGCCGCCCACCTCAGTGGCCATGGCGCCAGTAGGCAGATGAGACCAGTAGGCAAACCAGCATACTGCTGTGTCGTGGCCGTGGCACAGACACGCGGTACTGCGTGTAGGTGACGCAAGCGCGTATTAAGGGGAGGGCGGGATGGAGAGGAAGCGGGTCCACTAGGTAGACGCCTAAAGAAAGGCAATTTGACTTACAAAACCCCAGTATGTAGGTAACTTTCGACCCCCCCCCCCCTTTATACGCCCTTGAGGTGCCGCCATCACCAACGAGGCGGACACATGCACGGCCGAAGGCGACTCGACCTGGCGGGCGGGCGGGCGTGTTACCGGCCTGAAGTCAGCGGCACGCAGCCAAGTAGGCAACAGATGGGGGAGGTTTCACGTCCGACGCGACGTCGTGTGGGTTGCCTGTGTGCAAAAGCATGTTGCCTACTTCTCGGTGTATCATATCGCTCGAGCAAGTATGCAATCAAAGAAACACCAGATGCAGTGGTGCAGCAGGCCGTGTTGGCGCTTGTTTCCTGGGGGGGGTGTGTGACAGGGTTCCGCCCCATGTTTCTCATAGTCTCACAAAACAACCTCACCCTAAGCCCGACCCCTTCTACCTGCAAGGTTGTCGGAGAACCCTGCGTGGACGGTGCTGCTGTTGGAGGCGGGCGGCGACGAGCAGTACATGTCGGACGTGCCGCTGGTCATGCCCTCGCTGCCCAACTCGCCTCTGGACTGGAAGTTCAAGACGGAGCCGCAGCCCCACGCCTGCAAGGCCTTTATCGAGTCCAGGTCGTCGTGGCCGCGCGGGAAGGTCCTGGGCGGCTGCAGCACCATCAACGGCATGCTCTACATCCGCGGCAACCGGCGCGACTACGACGGCTGGCGTGACCAGGGCTGCCCGGGCTGGGGCTACGACGACGTGCTCCCCTACTTCAAGAAGAGCGAGGACGTGCGAGTGCACGAGCTGCGCGCCTCCCCGTACCACGGCGTCGGCGGCGAGCTCAACGTCGAGCACTACAAGTACTACTCGCACATCGCCGAGGACTTCCTCGAGGCCGGCCGGGAGCTCGGCATCCGCGTTGGGGACGTCAACGGCGAGGTGCAGTCGGGCTTCATGAAGTCGCACGGCACGCTGCGGCAGGGCCTCCGCTGCTCGGCGTCAAAGGTCAGTCGGGGCGGCCACGGTGGAGCGGCAGCAGAGTCAGAACGACAGCCTGACGGATCCCTTTGCAGGCGTTCCTCCGGCCGGCGTCCAAGCGGCCCAACCTGCACGTCAGCATGTTCTCGGCGGTGCAGCGCATCGTGGTGGTGGACGGCCGCGCCGCGGGGGTCATCTTCCGGAAGGCCGGGCGGCCGCGGCTGCAGGTCGCCCTCGCCAACCGGGAGGTGCTGCTGGCCGCCGGGGCCGTGCAGTCGCCGCAGCTGCTCATGGTGTCCGGGGTGGGGCCCGCCGCCCACCTGCGCGCCGTCGGCGTGCCCGTGGCCGTGGACTCCCCGGGCGTCGGCGGCAACCTCCAGGACCACGTGGCGCTGGGCGGGACGGCCTACCTCATAGACTCGCCGCCCCACGCCGGGCCCATGGGCGAGGTGTTCGTGCTGCCCAGGGCCGCCACGCTCAACACGCTCCTGGGCTTCATCACGGGCTCCGGCGGGCCCATGTACGCCTGGCCGCAAGGCGAGGTCATGGGCTTCATCAGCACCAAGTAAGCTTGCGATTGCCTCCCCCCCTTTTTCCACCAGGAGTTGTCGCAATTTTTCATACTTCCGGCTGCAGTGCTGGACCGGCCTAACACTGGCTCTGTTCCCCAGGTACGCCAACCAGTCCGACGACTGGCCCGACGTGCAGCTCTTCCTGGCCAGCTCGTCGGACGCGTCCGACGGCGGCGTCTTCAACATGCGCAACCTGGGCGTGACGGACGAGGTGTACGCCAGCGTGTACGAGCCCATCCTGTACCGCGAGGCCTACTCCGTGGTGCCGCTGCTGCTGCGGCCGCGCTCCCGGGGCACCGTGCGACTGCGCAGCCCGGACATGGCCCAGCCGCCCCTCATCGACCCCAACTACCTCGCGGACCCCAGGGACGTCGAGATCCTGGTGAGTTCGGCGGTTGTACCTTTCAATACTGCACCGCGGGACCGTGGTAGATATAGTAAAGGGTCAATTGCGTCTCATGCGGCATTTATGCTTAAAATGTCACTCATTCTCTCATTCTCTTGTGCAAGTGGCAATCGCCAACCCCGAAGTTGGAAACTTTAAGGTAAACTCTGTTTAAGACTTTTCTGTAGAGTGTCGAAGCCGTCATACCCAAAAGTTCGGTGTCGAGGCACGGATCCGGTAAAGGGCCTAAGTGCGTACGTGAGCACGCACGAATGAGGACCGGATGTGGGTCAGTCGGTGCTCTGCCTCTACCTTTGCCTCTGCCTTTGGCTCTGCCTTTCTAATGCCATAAAACTGGCGAGGAATATTCCAGCCCGTCCCGACGCGTCTGTCGAGCTCGTCTTGTCCGGTTGGCCTGCCGGACTGACGGGCGCGCTGGTCGCGACCAGCCGGGGACCAGCCGGGGGGCGGGGCCCTGCCGGGCTGCCGGGCCCTGCAGGACACCGAAACGGGTCCAGTTGCCATGACGTCAGCAAGAGTCCCGCCCGACTCGAGTACGCGAAAACAAAAAATAACCCTGCGCCCTGACGCACTTGGCCCACCACCGCACGCGCTCATGCTCGGGTGAAAAGCGGCGAAAAAACGCGCACCGCGTACAACAGTAGAGTAAACCTGCTGGTGTCCTTGTTCCAGGTGGAGGGCGCCAAGGCGGGATACCAGCTGATGGGGACTCGCGCCATGCGAGCGCTCAACGCCACGCTCAACCCCTTCAAGTTCCCCGCCTGTGCTCACCTTCCGCACCCTTCGGACGAGTACTGGGCGTGCCAGGTAAGAAAGGGACGGAGAACACCGTAGACGAGGGAGGAGGAGGACGAGAAGGACGAGGAGGACGAGGAGGACGAGGAGGACGAGGAGGACGAGCACTGGCTCTTATATGTTCAGGTCAGGCATAGGCCCTACCTGTTAAGATAGTCTGTACAGACTTAAATTAACTTAGTCGCTTCCTTCCTTAGGCCCGGCAGTACTCCATGACCATCTACCATCCGGTGGGCACGTGCAAGATGGGCCCCGCGCACGACCCGCTGGCCGTGGTGGACCCCCGCCTGCGCGTGTATGGGGTGGTGGGGCTGCGCGTCGTGGACGCCTCCGTCATGCCCAACATCCCCAGCGGCAACACCATGGCGCCCGTCATCATGGTGGCCGAGAAGGCCGCCGACATGATCAAGCAGGACTGGAACGCGCCCTGGACGCCACCGGACACCCCGCGCCACCCCATATACCACGGCCGATATGACGCGTAGATTAGTAGTACAAAGCATCTAGTATTCAACATTTATTTGTAATAAGTAGTAAGGTATCCTAATTATTTATTATCAGAATTTTGTATTGTAAACTATTTATTTTAATGTGATAAACAGGAATCAGCTGACAGTCTACAGTAAATTCAATAAAACAAAGTGAATCGAATGAATGGTCAAAAGTCAGGTTGAGGACTTTGTTAAAATCAGCACACTTCCTAGTTCCTTATAAGACCCCCTCGCAGCCTAAAGCTTAACTGTGGAATGAGCTCAGAGAGCGTATTGAACCCACACAGCTGCAACGAAAAGGGTCACCACCCCCCGCTCATGCGGCGACAGGCACCTCGACCACTTCTCAACGGGGCAATACTCTATTCGGGATCACGACTCCCTGCCGCCGCACCCTGGTGGCCCGCCGCCTGCACCTGGCTGCATCAGCTGCAGGTGTTCAGTGCGGTCGCGCAGGTCGCAGGCAGGAGCCGCCGGGCCAGAGTCCTTGTTTGTCATTCGTCTGATCAGCGGACCGCGAGGAACTGGGACCGACGCAAGGGAAAGTGTGGGCCTGGCGGGGGCCTGGCGGGAACCTGGCGGAGGCCTGGCGGGGGCAGCGCGGCCTCTGGTGATAAGGAAAGCGGCGGAAGCAAGGCCAGGTCCAGGCGACAGAGGAAGAGGCAGCGCGGGGCGGGGCTGGGCGGTGCGAACCGATCCAGGGCGGAGCCGCCGCCGGGAGGGAAGGCCAGGACAGTCGCGGTCAGGGACGCGCAGTGGGTGGCAGTCAAGGCAGCGCGCGAGGTCCCCCGCAGGTCCTGCCGGCAGCAGCAGGGCTTAGCTTAGCAGGGCTCAGCAGTGCAGCCATGAACCAGTCGCTGGCCTTCGCGGGGCCGACCCCGGCCGTGCTCACCACAGTGCCGACGGTGCCGCTCGGCGCCGACCTGCTCGGTCCGGGGCGCGGCCTCGGGCCGACGCCGTGCACCTCGTCGTGTGAGTGCCCCTACTCCGACTCCACGTTCCTGCGCGGCGTGTGCGGCCCGTCGCTGGCCATCTTCCTGGGCATCATCGAGATGGTGCTGAGGGACAGCTGCGACGTGGCCGAGCCCTGCCGACGCGCACGGGCCGACGCATTCGCGCGGCGCGGCCACCAGGCCTTCGACTACATCGTCGTGGGCGCGGGCGTCGCCGGCTCCGTGGTGAGTACGAGAGCCTCGTGAGCTCGCTCGTGGCCGCAACCCTACCAAACGCCCTCTGTCTTACTCGTCGAAGGTAGCGTCACGGCTGAGCGAGGACAAGGGGGTGTCGGTGCTGCTGCTGGAGGCCGGGCCCGAGGAGCCGCTGGCCACGCTGGTGCCCGCGTTCGCCGTCAAGAGCGTGGGCACCTACCTGGACTGGGGCTTCGCGACGGAGGGCGAGAAGCGCGCGTGCTGGAGCACGGGCGGCCGCTGCCCGTGGCCGCGCGGCAAGATGGTGGCGGGCACGGGCGGCATGCAGGGCATGATGTACATGCGCGGCCACCCCGTCATCTACGACACGTGGGAGCGCCAGGGCAACCCGGGCTGGGGCTACCGGGACGTGCTGCCCTACTTCAAGAAGGCCGAGGGCAACCGCGAGATGCACCTGGTGGAGCCCGGCTTCCACTCCGACAAGGGCCCGCTGGCCGTGCAGCGCTTCCCGCACCGGCCGCAGCTCGCCGAGGACTTGGTGCGCGCCGGCAACGAGCTGCTCGGCTACGAGTCGCCGCCGGACCTCAACGGCGGCAACCAGACCGGCTTCACCATCGCGCAGGTCAGTGCGGGCGCCGCCGGGTGGGCGGGCCCAGTCGTGAGGTGTGGTATGTGCGACTCTCCTCGTCGACCTTTTGACTCCCGCAGATGATGGTGTACAAGGGACTACGGGGCTCCACCGCCCGCATGTACCTGAGGCCCTCCATGGGGAGGCCGAACCTTGTCGTCAACACCGAGGCCCTCGTCAGCAAGGTGGTCATCGACGCGGAGCGCGGCAGGGCCACCGGCGTGGAGTTCATCGACAAGTAAGCAGACCAGCCCTTCGCATCGGAGTAATTCTTTAGCCGTCCATTGATAACACGACGTGCTCGAGCAGGAACGGCGTGAAGCAGACGGTACGCGCCAAACGCGAGGTGGTGGTCTGCGCGGGGGCGGTGGGGTCACCGCAGCTGCTGCTCCTCTCCGGCCTCGGCCCCACCGAGGAGCTCGAGGCCGTGGGCGTGACCCCTGTCGCCGACCTTCCCGTCGGGCGCAACCTGCACAACCACGTGGCCGCCACCATCCACTACGTCGTGGACGACTTGGCCGGACGCAGCGTCGCCGACAGTGAAAGCGACGACGAGGACTACTACGAGCGGGACGACGACGAGGTGAGTCGACTTGGGGGACACGACCTCGGCCAGGAGTGACCATGTTCTAATGCGCGCGCAGGTCGGCCCCATGTCCATGGCGGCACTGCACAGGTTCCTGCAGAGGCGGTCCGGGCCGCTGGCCTCCACGGGCCTCACTCAGGTCACGGCCTTCCTGGCGTCCAAGTACGCCGAGAACCGGGTGCCCGACATACAGATCTTCTTCGACGGCTTCCACGCCGGCTGCCAGTCTGAGCTGCAGCCCGCCCTGCGCTGCGCCCCACCCAACGCCACGCACTCCCGCGGCGACTTCTACGACGTGCAGGTGAGGCTGGCCTGCATTCTGCTGTCGTTGCCAGGCAAGCACGCGCGCCGGCCGGAGCACCGGCTCTGGGCGGCACCGCACAGCTGAGTCAGGGCGCTGCTGCTGCCAGCAACGCTTTCAGAGCTCCACGACGAAAAATGTCAACTTTTACAAAAATAGAAATCATCTGCTAAAAGTGACCTAATAATGCTTACAATCATAAGTATCTATAGATACTCATCAATAGAAAATCATTATAATGATTATGATTCCAGCTATTCTTACCATGGGCACTAGTTCAATTTGCTCATTTCCATTTAAACTTAACAATATTAGCTGGTTTTCATTATTTCAGATTATAGACTTGTCCACAAAGCATGCCAAAAAAAAAGTTACCGGGATGATTACGTTTTGAATCACGTCATCAATTTTCTCACATTTTAAGTTTATAGAATAGTATTTATTTACCACTTCAGATTAAAGTTTTTAAAAATGGCACGATTTTATCCCGCCAAAATGGTGTGCTTCAAATCATATCACGTTCGTTGGGGTGGGGGATGAAACCGTTTCATTGGTGACGAGAACCTTGGCTGTCTCCCAGGTGGAGTTGGACCTGGACGCGGCGGCCCGGAGCGCGGCGCGCAGCACGCTGCGGGCGCACAAGTCCGACGTGGTGGTGGAGGGCTGCCCGATGACGCGGCGCATCGCTGCGCGCCCCACCGCCACGCGCACCCTGAGCAAGGGCCGCCTCAGCCTGCGCAGCGCCGACCCGCGCGACCCGCCCCTCATCCACGGCAACTACTTCGCGCACGAGCGCGACCTGCTCGTGCTCGTCGAGGGCATGAAGGCGGCCGCCAAGCTCGCCGAGACGAAGTCGCTGCGCAAGTGGGGCTTCAAGCTGGACGAGACCCCGGCCAAGGGCTGCCGGCACCTGCCCTTCGCGTCGGACCAGTACTGGGCGTAAGTCTGCTCAACAACACCCAAAACTTTGGCGTACGCTGTTTTAGGAAAGGGCGAACTTTGCAGAGAGGAACGTTGTACACCCTGAAAAGCGTGTGCTTGATTTTCAGGGAACTTGATTTATTCAAATAAAATGCGCTTGTTCTAAGAGCATTGGGATCGTAACGCGTGTCTGGGTGTGCCCATGCCGACTGTTTGGTTGCAGGTGCGTGGCCCAGACCCACACCGGCCCCGAGCACCACCAGGCGGGGTCGTGCCGCATGGGCCCCGCCGGCGACCCCGCCGCCGTCGTGGACCCCGAGCTGCGCGTGCACGGCGTGCCCAACCTGCGGGTCGCCGACGCGTCCATCATGCCGATCGTGCCCAACTCCAACACCATCGCGGGCATCGTCATGGTGGCCGAGAAGGCCAGCGACCTCATCCGGAGCGCGTGGAAGAGGCCCAGCCTGCTGGGGGTGCTCACCGGATGAGGCGGCGGAAGAAGAACGGGTTGGGAGAGGAGAGGCCTCCAGACCGAAACAGAAAAACGTTTCCAGGCGATGCAAGCTGGAAACACGAAACGTTTAGGAGACGGCCGGGCCCCCTCCTTGTCTACTCTAGTCACAGGGACGCAGCATGGCAGCGTCACCGCTTGTTACGATGCGGGAGTCCGCTATATTTATATTTAACATAATTCACTGATTATTTATTACTTTATGAAACAAACATTCGCCCTCGCATTCGCCGCATAGAACGAACGTGATCTGTGGCGACAGCCCTTCACGGCAGGGTGCGGCCAAGACCTACCTGGCTCGGCCTTAGACAAGACAAGGAAACCAGAGCCGGCCGGCCGGCGCAGGGCGAGCGTTTAACAGCAAGCAGTAAGCAGTAAAGCCGCACCCTAGCCGCCCACCGTCGATCGCGCCCTAACTGCAACTAGACTGTATGGGGCTCAACTGGCGCGGCCTCCGACTTACCGCGAGCACCACCGCCGGGCACCAACCGGGGCGCAGAGTGATTAAATCATCAAGATCCCACAAAAGCGTCGATGTTTTCATTTCCTTCAGCTATCGGCAGATACAAGGCCTCTCCCCAGTCTTACCTCGCACGAGAGAACACGAAACGAAGTGGGAAAGAACACAACATCCGTTCACGTAACGCAGAAAAATGCGAGAAATGCACAAGTCTCTACAAATCCATAGCACCCAGAAAACTCGTATCATCGAACAAGAAAATTGTACTTGGGTTGGCAAAAGATCGTTTTTGACCTGTTTCAAGAAAGTTGGGTTCATAAGTAAACCCGAGAACAAGATGAACTGCCAACAAGTGTGCCATTCCCTTCATAGAAGCGTTCTTTTAGGATGAATTAATATGGTGATAAAGTTCTAAGCAATATTGTACCGTATAGGAATTAGACCATGTAGTTTGAACGTCCATGATAAAGCTGTACAGTACTCAACCTCTTTAATTACTTCGAAAATTAAAATTAACTGCTATCGTTATTTTCCTTAAAAACACCCGTTAGGTTTTCGTAGTTTCCTGAAGAAACAAAATATTGAGGAGTATTACATTACAGTACACATGAAAATCAATAAAGTTTAGTACATCGCCCCAGACTCGACATAGACAGCGGCGTCTGCGCAATCCTGCTCACTAGTTAGGGGGAGGATAAACCAGAAATGAGGAAAACAAACTCCTGTCAACTGGAACGCGTTGGGCCCGGCCGATAGAATGCCGGGGCCGGGTGGGGGCCGGCCCACCGGGGCGCGACGCAGCCCGCCGTGCAGATTTAATCGACGCGATTAAGGCATGCACAGCAGCCAGGGCCCGCCAGGGCGAGCGGCGCGTTCTGATTCCACGGCGGGGAGAGTCACGCACCCTCTTCGCACTACAACCTCCTCTGCTCGGCTTCCGGCGGCCTCCTCCCCGCCAGAGCCGGGCTGCCAGGGGGGCGGCCGCGCTGGAGGCGGGTGTGGCGGCGGGGGTGCCGGCGGGGGTGGGGGCAGGCAAGGGTCCTGGGGCGCCGATAGTTTGCAGAAACTACTGCCGACACAGTGCGCGCAAAAGTACCGGCCGAGACGCACCGCAGTCATGAGCGGGCAGACACGCCTGAACGATAAGGCTGGAGTGACAACACTGGATTGAAAAATCGGCGCTGATGTGAGGGTGCGATCGGGACGGCCGCGACCAACCCTTAGGATTACCACCAACTGGAATACTATACCGCTCCGGGAACATTTGCTGTGGCTACAAGGTAAGAGTAACAAGCAAGAGCGGTTATTTTAATTACATTTTGAAGTAAAAGGCCATTATTTGCGGAATAATTCCCCACAAGTATGTTGGTTTCTATAGATTAACCGATTTTAGCCCGCCATTCTAGTTTAAAAAACTATAGCTTGGCTTGGTGTGGCGATTGTTTCACTGTCACACTAGAAGGAGGTGACCTATAGGGACTTCGATGCGGCAAAGCGCCTGCAGCAAATCATAGCAACTGCAAACCTCCCTTCGCCGGAAAAAATATCTACAGCATTCACAACAGCTTTAAACTGTTTGCTAGTTGGAAGAACGGTGGTATACTGTTAGATTTATTCCTCTGTCGTACGGTTTACTATGGATTTTAACAAAGTCGAACTGCACCTTCGTACCGTACACCGTGTTTCTTCCTCCGCCCCCTTCCCCCAAGTTGCACACTTGGTTTATCCGTGAGAAAGGATGGCGTAAAACCGAGGGGGCAATAACTCCGGGAATCATGTGTACACCTGTCTGGGAATCATCAGGATAAAAATTGATCAAAATCAAAAGAAATCGCTTAGAATAAGCGGGAAACTAGATAAATAAGTACAAATCAGTCGAAATAAGCGTTTTATACCACTAAAACCCCCCGAAAAACCTATGTAATA